GGCAGGGGTCCTGGGGGGACAGTCAGGAAGGAAGAGGGGGATTGGATGGGGTGGGGAGTCCGGGGGTGGTCAGGGGACAGAGAGCAGGAGGGGAGGATGGGGCAGGGGTCCGAGGGGGGGCCCATCAGGGGACAAGAAGCAGGGGGGTTCGGATAAGGGGTGGGGGCCAGGCCATGCCTGGCTGTTTGGGGAGGCACAGCATCCCCTAACCGGCCCTCCATACAATTTCTGTAATCTGATGCGGCCCTTAGGCCAAAAAGTTTGCCCGCCCCTGCCCTAAAGCACACCCAGCACATTTGCACTGATGGAGATAGACTTTGTACTTTCATAAGGAACTTCATTTTGTCTCCAACTAATAAAGGAACACATTATACATAATGCATCAGTATCCCTCATAGTACAATGAAAAACCTTAATTATATCTGCAGCAACATTAGCCATTATCCAGGTTGACATTTTTGCACAAGTTAATTGTTCTCATATGTTTTTATAAGAGAATGATGAAATTATAATTAAGATTTTCTGTTATGCTGTGAGGGAGAACAATGAATTGTGTATCTTTTCATCAACTGGGGGCAGAAGGGCACTTTTCCTATGATCCTGTGGAATCTGTTTCATCAGTGGGGATATGCTGAGCTTTAGAGAATAGTTGATAGGTGTCCCATTATTTGGCCTATCCTTACTATTCAGGGACTGTGTGCTGGGGATAAGACTCATTTAACCAGATTGAATCCCATTTAAACTATTCGTTGTTTGCTTATGGAATTTCCTGAGTTACCTTAATATGATAAATATAGGGTGGTTTGGGGTAGGCAGGGATGCCCCCCAACTTTCCCTCCAGTGGGATAGGAAAGAGAGCCAAAGGGGTAGAGAGGGGCAGGGTGGGATAATTATGCGTGTGAGTGTATGTGTATGAGTTTGTGTGTGTGAGAGTGAGTGAAGTGGAGGGAAATTAGTTTTATTTCTACACTCTCCAGCTCAATGTTCCTGCAATTCCTGTGGCGAGGTCGGCTTGTGTATGGCCACATCTGCTCCACTGGGCCAACCACAATTCCTCAGGGTGGAGGAGCCTCCATGAAAGCTGCAGAGTATAAAGCAGAGGCCAGAAAGCACCCTAACACTGGATCTCAAAAGTTCTCTGACCTGGGAACTCCAGATGCTGCTCTTTGACTGAGATGAGGTTTGCAGCATAGACAGCAGCCCTCTTTCCAAGAGCAATGTATTTCTTCAGTTCCATTGGAAACAAGAACCAAGAAGTGACCATCTTGCCAAGGGGCAACCTCACTTTGACGTAACAAGTATAGTTTTCAAATATACTGCATATCAGACTCCCAGTTGGTGGGGAGAGAAAGGAGGAAGAGATCCCCATCAAAAATTAAAGTCTCAGCTCTTAAAAAACATTGATGTTTATATTTGTGTGCACTTCATGCACTTAATGCCTTATACCCCTTCCTTAGAAGGCAGTCAATACCAGCCCCCCATTTTACAAAGGAGGTAATCGAAAGTATGTGTAAGTCACTTTAGCAGAGCTGGGAACAGAGCCTAGATCTTTAATATGATAACTCCAACCTCTCAACTCAGCCACACCGCCACTCAGAAAGAACCTGCCAAATCTACGTGTTTGGGTACACACTGGTTGTAATCACTAGACCACACTCCTCTTCCAAAGATCGGAATAAAATCTTGTAGTCCTGATTCTCACCACTCTAGTGCTGTGTTGCCCACTGGCAAAATGAGTGTTGCTTTCCCCTTTAGAGGCTGCTCCACACAAAAGCAGAAGTTACTTCTGATAAAGGCTTGGGATTGGGATATGAAAGAGCTAGATTCAAATGCTGCTAATGACCCACGTAGTGGATGGACTTAGAATTCCTGTTTTCCAAGTTTATTCTTTTCTTTTTTTAAAAGAAACTGGTGTATTTAATTGATAGTGTGAAAATATTGTTAAAAGAGGATTTATAGTGGAAAACTATTGAAGCTGGTAATAATGGTGCAACATACAACAAAGTACAGGTGTTCCAATTTCCATCAATTTTCCACACACTTTGATGTCCCACACTGGCAGATTTGAAGGTTGAGAAATATAGCAGCAGAAGTACTCTAGTGAAATGGGGGTCAGGTTCTAGGCGGTAGTCTGTGCTTTCAGTTATCGGAAATGATAGCCATCTTTACAAGGAACACCTCCTCAGTAAAGTAATGGTCACCTTTATTGAGTGTATTAGTAATATCCATCTCATTGGGTAGTATCAGATCTTTTGTAAATGATGGGAAATAGCGGCCATTTGAGAAAAGGAAAATTGTGACTAGAATGGTAAAGACAGGAAAAAACAATTGTTGATAACTTTGCTTACTTACAACCTAATTTCTTGAATTTCTTGGATTTGAAGGTGGCTGGCAATGAAGTTTAACTATATTGAATGTGTGAACTGTAACATACCAGACATTTGTTAGTAAAAAGACTTCTGAAAAATTTCAGATACAGGAGAAAAATTTCCGAAAGAACTAATTTTTAAATTAATTTGAACTCAAACCAAATAAGAGACAACTGAAAAGCAGAGCTAAGGGCTTGTAGGGGTGGGAGAATGCTTGTGGGGAGGCAGAGTTCCTCACCTATATTCACAGATTTTAAGGACCAAAGGAACCATTATGATGGTCATCTATTCTGACCTCTAGCATAACTTCAGCCTTAGGACCTGAATTAATTCCTGCTTCACTTCCAATAGCTGTGGTTGAGCTACAGCTTATCTTTCCAAAGAAAAACATCCAAACTTGATTTTAAAATGTCCAGTAATGGAGAATCCATGACAACACTTGATAAGTTTTTCCAATAGTTAATTACCCTCACTGTTAAAAATTTGTGCCTTGTTTCTAGTCTGAATTTGTCTGACTTCAGCTTTCAGCCATTCGACCTTTGTTTGGAAGACTGTAGAGCCCTCTATTACCAAATTTCTGCTCCCCATATAGGTACTTCTAGATAGTGATCAAGTCACTCCTTAACCTTCTCTTTGATAAACTGAATAGATTGAGTTCCTTAAGTCTCGAACTATTGGGAGTGTTTTCCAAATTCTGAAGAATGTGATGAATCCTATTATACTTGAGAGATTTTTGTTACATTTGTTTTGCTTAAGAAAACTCGTTCTGGTTTATAATTGTGAAGATTTGCTCCTATGAGCAAAATCTTTCCTGATTACTGCTGTGTTATTACTGCTATGTCAACCCAGGAGGCCTGCAAAGACCTAGGTTTTAGGGCATTCAATTGCACTTGAGATGTTTCCAATTGTTCTTTCTGCATGACATTTCCATTAAGTCAGAACAGTCTGAAAAAGTAAGGAATTCACACACTGCTTACATATAGGAATAAACAAACAATTTTACCTGCAACCACTGGAGATTTTCTGTCATCTAAAAGTTGAATGGCAGTACTAGCTGTCACCACATTGCTTTTGTTTGCTGTTTCTACAAGGTGTAAAAAAAAAAAAAGCTATTAAAATCAAAACATATTGCAGTGTAAGCAAGTTCAGCAGTAGATTTTTAGTTTGAAAAAATTATCAAATATTCGTATGAATTTAATGCTCAGGAAAAGTGCACAGGCAGTAACACTTCAAGTTTCGTCACAATGCCTGATTACAGGATTTGTGAACTTGGTGAAAATTTCAGTGCAGATTTCAGAAGATGAAACTCAGTTCAATACCATTTCCTGAATACAACAACATATGTGGAATCTTCCCAATATTATGCATGCTTCAGTATTTAAATATGACAAAATTACAGACCTGTACTAAATGGGATTGAATAGACAAAGCTGCCTGGTATCTGCTCGGCGGCTCTTCTGTACCAGAGTGGAAAATGATCAGCATTAAAAATATTCTCTTTGTCTTCAGCTGTCAGGAAGTCTCTTGAAACAGAAGAAAGAAGAAAATATTTGCTGCTTTTTGTATATCACAAAAAACATTTCAGGCTTGAAAGTCAAAACAAAACAGCATCTTAGTCTTTGGGAAAGAAAATGGACTCCTCTTTTGGGTTCTTTTCTATATCATTTGTGCAGTAAAAGAGTTTCATATATCACTGAATAATTCTTGATATACTTGCAGTATCTTCTCAGACAACAAATTTCATAGCAACCCTGCTATGTATAAGCTGAGAAGGGTGGGCAAAGGGGTAAAAAACTCAGCCAAAGTCAAGTGGAAAATTGTATTACTGTAGAAATTTAAAAAGATGCCTTTCTTTCTAGCAACTTGTTCAAATGTTTTACTTTTTAAACTAGCTGTGTGTGGTGAAAGAGATGTTGTAACGAGTGAGGACAACTGTTTCAAGCAATCCAAGTTCAATTCTTAAGTTAGGCCAACATGATTAATAACTGTTCTTCCCAAGAAGATATAGTGGGAGGGGTGAACAATGAACTTGGCTATATTCTTCCCCAAAAAAGGATGTCAGGGAAAGGTGCCTGCGGTAGAAGGGAGGGGTCATATGAGAAAAAATGCAACTATCTTCTCCATGCTCATTGCTTCCAGTGTGCTGGATGAGGACAACAGCACCACAAGCTGCAAGGCCACTGATTCCAGCTCACAAATCTTTCACCCAACAACAATATTGTGTATTCAGATTAATATCATGCAGAAATCCTTAGTTATCATCACAAAATACATACATGTTACCTGACGTTCGCAATACACAGAGCCTCTGGCAATAAGCTACACTAACTAGAGGACGTTTATTTCAGAGAGCTTCCTTTTAAGAAACACATACTTCCAAAAATTGCTGCGTAACATTTTCTGGCACTGAAATCAGTATGTTCCACACATATTTGCACTTGCATATTGCAATTCCATAGAAATAGGTCCTTAAAGACAAATCCTGGGTAAAGATGTATTACGGAGGTCAAAATGAATATTTCCTTTCTTAAAACCTTTTCACACACCAATGATTCAACTTTTTAATTCATTTCTACTGTTGTCTTTGCAGTTTAATGGTGAGGAATATTTAACCATAAGAGAAAACAAGTATCTCTTCCTACACAATGCTCAACATTGCTCTAATGTTGATTTCCCCAGAATTACATTAAATATTATTGGCTCTCTTAAAAGGATTGACGTATTGATTGCAGATGCTAGATGGAGCATAAAAAACAGTTATACTGTCAACATGATTTACTAATAATATGACATGGATTCAAATAGGTAAAAATTAAGGGCATTTTCCTGCTGCTGCTAAAGTCAATAGGAGTTTTGCCATGGACTTCAGAGGGAACAGGACTGGACTCTAAGTAAATAAAAATATATGTCAACGTAATGGCTTGAAGGTTTTTTTGTTTTTTTGTTTGGTCATTGTGGTTATTGTACAGGATTAGAATAGAAATATGTGAGTAGATAGCAGAAAATTGACTTTTAATATATAATTCTGTGTGGTTTTACTTTAAGCCCTAAAACACCAACTTCTGTCTCATGCTAACTGTGGGTATTAATCTATTGTGAACAGCTAACCTCTCAAGTTACTGTCTGGATGTTTATCTCTCTCTCATATGTTCATGGTGTAAATAGTACTAACATGTTGCTATAACACCTTTGCACTTATGCTCAGATCCCCAAAAGGACTTAGGTATCCTCCTTTAGATGCCCAAGTCCAAAATTTAGGTGATACTGAGATACTCAAAATACCTACTAAGCTGCTGCCTAGCCCTGGAGATGCTTAAAATCCCTTAGGACCTAAATTTCCACTGTTT